AACTATATCAGGAACCAAAAGATTAACACTTTAGGTAACTAAAACGAAGCTTATATTGATTTTAAAGATAAATTTAATGAAACAAGTGTTTAAAGCAATGTAAAGTTTCCAGTATTCAAACTCCATGTGTGCTGAAATTGGTCTACCATCCCTACAACTCTACACAAATGTGCATCCACAGACACGGGCATTCTGTATGCACTGGAAGTATACCAAAACTAAGAACACTTAAATTTGTGAACTCAGATTGTACATGTGTTCATGTGTGAATACACATAAGCTTTTATATAACAGGAAAGATTCTAATCCTCAGAAGCCCCTTTACTTTTAGATATCAATTTATTTTACATTTTTCCTAAATTTAACATGTTACCTGGTGTATTTAAGATTTACTGAGAGAATATTAGGGTTGATAGCTGGTACAAGTACTAAGTAGTCATAAGCAAAAAGGTCATGGGACTACAGGAAAAACAAATTAAGAGAAAATGCAAATAAAGACCAGTGACTGTATCAGGAGAAGAGTTAAATTAAGCAGTTTAAAAATAAAAAAGGAGGGCCGGCCTGGTGGCACAGCTGTTAAGTTCGTACATTCCACTTCAGTGGCTTGGGATCTCCAGTTCGGATCCCGGGTGTAGACATAGTACCGTTTGGGAAGCCATGCTGTGGCAGGTGTCCCACACATAAAGTAGAGGAAGATGTGCACAGATGTTAGTTTAGGGCCAGTCTCCCTCAGCAAAAAAGAGGAGGATTAGCAGCAGATGTTAGCTCAGGGCTAATCTTCCTCATAAAAAAAGGGAAAATAGGGGCCGGCCCGGTGGCGCAGCGGTTAAGTTCGCACGTTCCGCTTCTCGGCGGCCCGGGGTTCGCTGGTTCGGATCCCGGGTGCGGACATGGCACTGCTTGGCAGCCATGCTGTGGTAGGCGTCCCACGTATAAAACTAGAGGAAGATGGGCACGGATGTTAGCTCAGAGCCAGGCTTCCTCAGCAAAAAGAGGAGGACTGGCAGTAGTTAGCTGAGGGCTAATCTTCCTCCAAAAAAAAAAAAAGGGAAAATAATCCTAACATTAGGTCAAAGTAGAGGAGAATACGTTTAGAAGATGAGAGTCACAAGAAAAAGAAGGTCCCCAAAAAGAGAGAGAGCAAGAGAACAAATTAATCACTTATGAAAAGAAGAAGATACATTACAGCTCGTACACATTAGAGAAGATCTCCTTTACAAGCCAACTGCTAATTATTGAGTCAAAGGAAAGATGAATAGTTGTAATGATGCCCCATTCTCCGCCCCCATGTGGACATTTCTTGTTCTGACAGTATAGGATGCAAGGGATTATGATGTAGGCAAGTAGCATTAGTGGGTGTCCTTTAAGATGCCTTAATATTAGAAAGGTTGGAAGCCATTGGGAGGACATAGGAGTGGCCTTTGGGCAACAGTGTCCAGAAACCTACTCAATCCCAGGGCTGAGCAGCTCTCACTTTCTTTCCCTTCTCCTTCCTTTCAGGCCTAGGTGGTCTGGCAACGGATGACTGGCTTGCATCAGTAGAGCGCAGAGCTGTAAAGGATCATATTCTTTCTTTATATAACAATGCATAAGACTTTTCTTGCCTGCTTCTAGAAGTATTTCTAAAAGCATGAGCAGGAAATGGCAATGAAAACAATTCTAAACTAAAAGAAACTTATCCTCATTCTATCACCTTAAAAACACAACTTTACTCCTGTATGGAGCTCTTTCATGATGAGCATGCACTGACTGTACGATAAGTAATTGCGGTTTCACATACAAACCTAATCTATATTTTTGACCTATATAAGTAGATAAATATAATAATGGATTACGAGTTATTTATCAGCTAAAAAGTCCTACAAAAATTAGTTTATACTGCTTTAAGGGAAGTAAAATGTATATACATTTTTAATGCTGTTCATCTTCTGATAGATAAAAACACATTTCCTATATTATTAAAGGTGGAGCAAGAGTATTTACAGTCTCCTTATTATTACCTGCCTACTACAAACTTGCCCTTTTGGACTCAGGGCCCCACTTATCATAGACTATAAAAGCCACAACCTTGTATACTTAAGTGTGAACCAGGTCAGTATTCCTTTCAAGATTAAACTCTGAGGAATAGCTCTATAAAACGCAGATCCACTAGAACTTTGAGAATAAACCAATAAGGAGTAAAAAGTTGGAGTAAAAGCAGCCAAAAGCCTCTGACTGGCTCTATTCACCAGCAATTTCTAACAATAACAACAAAAAAACAATGAAAAACTCCAAAGGAATATGCAGGTTTATAACCCTCTCTTCTCTGTACTAAAACCAAGACACAACGAGATCTCATTTTATAAACTCTTACTCACTTCCTAGGTCATTCTCAGATAAATCATCCTATTTACACTCTGTGTACAGTTATGGATCTTTAACACTATTCCACAGAAGTACTCGGACTTACTGGTAAACCTACTGCATCAGGGTAGCTTAATTTTATTTGGTCTACGGAAAGTCTATTTATATAAATATCATTAGTACTCTCCATTGTGAAGAAAGGAAGAACTTTAAATACATAACCACATGTAGCATAAATCTAACAGCTTCAAAGAAAGACACATACACACACACACACACACACACACACACACACAGAGTGGCTGAGAGGGAGAGAGGAAGAAACCAAAAAGAGAGAGAGACAGAAAAAGAAAGGGAGGGAGTTTGGGGAGGGCATGAAGTCCAAGATAGCAAAAAAGTCATTCTCAAAGACTTTTGGAACTGGAAGTTGACATATCTTTATTTTTTTAAATATACCCATATCTTTTAGCTTTCCCTTCCTCCACGCAACTTACAAGCTGTAATACAGAAATTGGTTTTTATATTGCTTTAGAAACACAAGGTATCTTTCTCATTGATGATAGTGCCTTCATGATGGTGGTTTTAGTGTATTAACAAAGCAATGTACACATTAACTATTACTATATTTCAAGCAAGAAAATAGCAAAACTATACGTACTAATTATTTTCCTATTAATAACTTAAATTTTCAAGAACCCTAGGCTGACAATTAAATTACAGTGTCCTAAGTGTGATTACTTCCTGATTCCTATTGATTGACTTTCCACAATTCTGTGTGCAAATGCATCTTTAGTGTGCTTTGCAAGTGTCAGGTATTTACATACATATTTAGAGAGACAATCAAAATGGTTTTATAAGTCAAACTAAGTAACTATCCATTTATTTAGTTGCTATTTATCACATAATCTTACCCCAAATTTTCTACTTTGAAAGTCAAAAGTATAATATATCCAAATTAGCCAAGGATCATCCAGGTCTTTTGTCATAGTGGGTCCATTTGCTTATAATTTCATCTATCCTATGGAAATTTAGATTTAAAAAAATGCCACACATGCATGTGTATTTTACATACAAACATAAAACATTTTAAAAGGTATTTATGCAAGTGTGAATCCAACTTAAATAAATATTCATAAAATAAGTAAACTGATATACATTAAATTGAATTATTTTTTGATATATGGAAAAATTAGATAGAAGTATGTTTATGTACAAAAGAAAACATTTTAAAACTTACTCTCAATATTGAATCACTAACATGCAAAAGGTTTTAAATACAATTTTAAATTTGAAAAACCTCAAATGTCCTTCTGAAAACCTAGTAGAACTGAATTACAAAAAAACTAATTGTTACAACAAAATTGGAAAAACATAATTTTGTACAATTTTCCTTAGGAAATTTTATCTTAAGGGGGAGAAAACCCCTTCTCTCCACAGAAGTTTCAACAGAATCCATCACGTTGAATCAATGAATTTGATGCCAATACCTACACGGAATTGTGAACTTCCTAGCTATTTCCTGTGATTATCCAACTGACTCACTTTTTCTCGCATGCACTTGAGTGTTGATCTGCTCAACAAAAGGGTTTTATACCACATGTCAATGAGCAAGTATTACATTTTTGTGAATGAATTAGCTAGCCCTCTCTTGTACTATATAAAGAAAGTTTCCTGGACTGACACCAATGATCACATTGGTAAACTTAATTAATATAACTTCTCAATAATTAATATATATAAATAAATTTTAAACATAAAAATGTAAAACTTCAATATACTCATAATATCCCTGATTTTCTGTAAAAATTACTAGAATAACAGGTGATTAAAACTTTTATAGTTATTTCACCACTTGCAATCTTAGTATCTAGAACAATATTTCCAAAAGTGAATTCTACAGGTAAGTATTAGGTAAAAGGAAGTTTCCATGGAAAAAAAATTAGGGAAAAGCTGTGTTAAGCAAAATTAGACGTGTTTCTCGACATAGGATATTTCAAATCATTTTGAGTATATGGGAGGTATATAGAGTATGCAGCATTTCCAATTGGAAGCAGACTCTTTTTCTTTCTTGGACCAATAGGACACTAGTGTTCCCTTGCAACATTCTTATTAAGACATTTCATTAATCTTTTTCTCACGACTTTATCCAGAAGCAAAACATACAGTAGCTCACTAGCAACATGGTTAAAACTTATTTTTTGCAATGAAGTTACAAATTCCAATTAATAAAAGCTGTATACCATTAATGATGGTACTTGAAAGAAAAGATCATTCGGGATTCAGTTCTGAAGCTGAAATAAAGGATTTTTTTTTGTATATTGTCAAGGAAACTCAGCATTTGACTACGAAATCATGCAACTATTTGATAATAACCATCAACCAACCATACTTTTTTGCTCTTTTACTCATTAAATTAAAAGAAATAAAACATACTTTTCCCTATACTTGAAATTTGACTTCTAGCAATTTGTTTTTAATTATAGCAGTGGGTGTTCCAGAGTTCTCTCCTATTTCATTTTATGATTATGACTTTGAACTGAATACGTCACTTGCCAGCATGGAGGGAGACAAGTAAGCAGCTGAGTAAATTGTGGCTTATTCATCTGGAATAGCAGTACCAGGCACAATTATGCTTCTGCATTTGTATGGTGCAATACCTGGACATCTATACAGCTTTCTTGCCTGTGCAATATCTCCTTTGCTTAAACGGGTTCGCTGACCAATTGCCGGACGTATGCCATTATCATCACGTGAGGGGAGAATGGTATCCAGAAACATCCCCCTGCAAAAAATCAGAAGCAAGCCACACATAAGTCACCCAATTAAGACATATATATCTGTTATAAATATAAGGTTATTTTTTTCAAACTCAAGTCAATCAAAGGGGAGATACACCAGTGCTGATATTTAAATAGTGTGTCAGACTTTCAAAACACTTTCATTAAAGTAGAAAAATAATTGTTTGTTAAATGTGTATACCTAGTATAAAGTCAATGACGACATGCACTTTTTCCTTAGAAATGTATATGTTTTTAAAAATCTAGAATTCTATACAGTCCCCCACCAAGTACACTGTAGCTTTTGTTTTGGCCTCTCAAGCAGATCTAAGAACCACTTAGATTACCAAGTCGTAAAACAGTTCTTCTTCACAGAGATAAATATCTTGAGATTACTAAAATTGTAAAAGTCAAAGTATGCAAAAGCTAATATTTTTGAATTAAACTACTAATTTAACCTAAGTATTGTATGAGTCCATCTATTACAGTATATGTTAAAAGAACAAGGAAAAATAGAGTGTCAGATTCTAGACAGGACATTTTAAAGCAAAACGGTTTTGTGATACACACACATGCACATACACATATATATAGTATAAAATTTTCATGGTAAAATTAATAAGCAAAAAAACTAAGGAATGTCCTAATAATGTTAATTTATAGATATTGAATTGCTTTTCACCCAAGGTTGTGATAGAAACCATTTTTCTTAATGTGCATGACTAAAAATTCTGAATATAGCGCACTAAACATACAGTCTAATTTTTGAACGAATGTCAACATTTATAGCTCTAAAGGAACCACTGAGCTTAAAGGTTAAATGGGCTGACAGACTGCTGCAAGTGGTGAGACGGATGGAGTGTGCATATGAGGATTTTCAAAGTAAGAGAAACTTCCTATAAATGCATTTTAAGTTAAGAAATACAATTGTAAAAAAATCTCTTAAATTTGGAGGAATGATGGGACACTCCTTCCCAAAATTTATAAATGAACAGATTGTATTTAAACTGCAGGTTAGAAGAATAACATTTTCAGCTCCTTCCTTTAAGAAATATTTACTAAGCTCTGTTATCTGACTGGATTTATAGCAGTAAATAAAAGAAACAAAAATTCCTCCCCTTATGATTCTCACATTCTAATGGAGGGAGAAAGACATTAAACAAAGATTGATAACTGAGATAGTGACAGATACTATGGAGAAAAATAAAGACGAGAAGATGGCTATTGATTGTCCAGTGATGGGGTAGCTTTTAAATAGAGTGATCAAAGAAAAACTCACTTGCAAGTTGACATTTCAGCCAAACATGAAGAAAGTGAAGGTCAGGGCAATGTGGGTAACTGGGAGTAGAGAGTTCCAGAGAGAGAGAACAAGAAATACAACCACCCAGAGATGGGAAGACCCCTAAAGTGTTTGAGTGCCAGAGAATTTAACTTTAGCCTGAGGAAAACTGTTACTATCTGGAAGATGGTAAACAGAGGAGTGACGTGATCTATGAGTAATTTATAACTACTCTCCCCAGCTTCTGGGTAAGGGTAGTATTGCTCTTTAGATAAAACCTGGATAACAAATAGAGAAAGGAACTCTTTAAAACCAAATCTAAGTAACTATAGAACTACTTAATACACTACCTGAGATAAGGGAGGGAGGTGGTAACTAACGATTTATGGGAATTGACCATCAAAAGTAAAGCTTGCACATACTTAATAAGATGCAACTCCAGCTAGGCCAAGGCAGTTGAAGAGGAAGTTGAGCTACAGGGTAGCATTGAGAAAAGCCATTCTTCAACTGTGCTGCATGAATCAACAGACACATTAAGCAGGCAAGTCCAAATTAACGAAGTATTACAATTTTTGCAGTACTTCAGGACTAACATAGTCACTATTTTTTATTTCTATATCTAAAAACAAATTTGTAGTCTTTGAAAAATTTTGGTTTTTCCAATTTTCAAAAGAAATTCAATTTAAAAAGGTCAAGGACATCTTGGAATAGATATATTCAAACTCATACAGTGGAATGATGGATTTTGGCTCCTTCTGCCTGCTGAAGTAACATCCCTTCCATTCGGAAGGGGTCAGTCATCCAATCTTTTCTTATTTCTTTGTGGTCAAGAAGTTAACAATTCAAAATAAAATAAAATAAAATAAAATAAAAGAAGTTAACAATTCTCTCCCTCCACATCCAGGCCATTAAGCAATTGCAGGCTCTTCCTGAACTTTCTCAGTGAGGCACTATCAATAGGCCAGAGACAGATGATAGACGGGTTCGCTTACTAATCTTCATTTATTTTATCTATATTGGAAGAGTGAATTAGCTATGCTTTTTAAGAAACAATAAAATTTTACAATTTTTTATTAATGAAAAATGGGCAGTCCCAGTTTGCAAGCATTTACATTGCAAATTACCTAGGCATATGAAGCCCCCATATATCCAGCACTGTTCTTCCCACAAGTAAGGACCTAAATCTGTTGATGGGCAGCACTGACGAAAACAACTAAAACTTTTATAGACCCTCTGGATTCAGAATAGAAGAAACCATAAAACTTCAAATGCTTACATTAATGGAATGAAAGACAAAAACCACATGTTCATCTAGCTGATGCAGAAAAAGCATTTGACAAATATCAACACTCTTTCAGATAAAAACACTCAACAAACTAGGATTAGAAGGAAACTACTTCAAGATAAAAGATCATATATGAAAAGCATACAGCTAACAACATAGTCAATGGTGAAAAACTGAAAACTTTCTAACATCAGGAAAAAGGCTAGGATGCTTGCTCTCAACACTTCTATTCAACATAGTCCTGGAAGTCGTAGTTGGAGCAATTAGGCAAAAAAAAAAAAAAGAAGAAATAAAAGACATCCAAATTGAAAAGAAAGAAATAAAATCATCTCTGTTTGCAGATGACGTGATCTTAAGCAAAAGAAAAAACCACAGAGAGTCTACAAAAAACTGTCAGGACTAATAAACAAATTCAGCAAAGCTGCAGGATACAAAACCAAAATGCAAAAATCAGTTGCATTTCTATACAATAATAATGAACAATTCAGAAGAAAATTAAGAAAACAGCTCCATTTAAAATAGCATAAAAAAAACTACTCTGGAATAAACTTAACCAAAGAGGTGAAAGACGTGTATGCTGAAAACTACAAAACACTGTTGAAAGAAATCAAAGATGATACAAATAGATAAAAGGACAATAATTATGTATGAATTGAATGATTTAATTTGTTAAAACGTCCACACTAATCAAAACAATCTATAGATTCAATACAACCCTTACCAAAATCCCAATGGCATTTATTACAGAAATAGAAAAAACAGTTCTAAAATTCATATGGATTCTCACAGGACCTTGACAGCCAAAAAAAGTTTGAAAAAAAAGAACAAAGTTGGAGGACTCACACTTCTTGATTTCAAAGCATATTACAAAACTAAGGTAATCAACATAGTGTGATACTGGCATAAAGACAGGGCTACAGACCAATGTAATAGAATAGGGATCCCAGAAATAAACCCTAGTGTATACAGCAAATGACCTTCCACAAAGTTGCCAAGATCACTGAGGGGGAAAAGACAATCTTTTCAACAAATTATGTTGGAAAAACTGGATATCCATGTGCAAAAGAATGAAGTCAAACCCTTATCTAAGCTATATACAAAAATTAACTCAAAATGGATTAAAGACCTAAATATAAGACCCAAAATTATATAACTCCTAGAAGAAAACAGAGGAAAGCCTTTATGACATTGGATCTGGCAATGATTTCTTGGATATGACTCCAAAAGCACAGACAACAAAAGTAAAAATAGGTAAGTGGGACTACATCAAACTAAAAAGCTTCTTCACAGCAAAGGACACAATCAACAGAGTGAAAAGGAGAGAAAACATGTTCAAAATATACATCTGATAAGGGGCCAGAATATATAAAGAAATCCTACAACTCAACTGTAAAAAGTAGAATAATCTGATTAAAAAATGGGCAAAGAACTTGAATATACATTTCTCCAGAGATGATGTACAAATGGCCAACAAGCATATGAAAAGTGCTCAACATTATTAATCAGCAGAGAAATGCAAATCAAAACCACAATGAGACATCATGTCACACCCACCAGGAGGGCTACTATCAAACCACCCCCCCAAACCAGAAAATAACACACATTGGTGAGGATACAAAGAAAGGAAACCCTTGCGCACTGCTGGAGTTGTAAAATGGTGCAGTTACTACAGAAAACTAAAAATAGAGCTATCATATGATCCAGCAATCCTACTTCTGGGTATACATCCAAAAGAATTAAAAACAGGGTCTGGAAGAGATATTTGTACACCAAGGTTCATAGCAGCACTATTCAAAATAGCCAAGAGGTAGAAACAACTGAAATGTCCATCAACAGATGAATGGATAAACAAAACGTGATATATACATACAGTGGAATATTATTCAGCCTTAAAAAGGAATGAAATTCTGACACACGCTACAACATGAACCTTGAGGACATTATGCTAAGTGAAATAAGCCAATCACAAAAAGACAACTACTGTATGATTCTACTTATATGAGGTATCTAAAGTAGCCCAACTTCATAGAAAAAGAAAGTGGAATGGTGGTTACCAGGAGCTGCAGGGTGGGAAAAACAGAGTTGCTATTTAATGGGTGTAGGATTTCAGTTCTGCATGATGAAAAAGTTCTGGAGATAGGTTTCACAACAATGTGAATGTATTTACTACTACTGAACCATACACTTAAAAATAGTTAAGATAGTAAATTTGACGCTGTTTTTTTAACTACAAAAAAAAAAAACCTTCAAATACTTTGGAGGTAGTGGCTGAGAACTGTGCCAAATATTTCCTCTCCTGAAATTCACTTATTTAAAAATATGTATGAGTTAATAAATATCCTCTTTAAAATCAAAACAATAAAATAATGTGAAATTAATTAATTCCTCTAACAGGCAGACATGGTTATTTTCACTATAGAATATAAACTTTTTAGAAAAGTAAATAGAATAATTCTGAAACACTAAGAAAAAATAATAGTTCGAGGCTGGTTGGCATGTACCACCAAGGTAACCACAGGGAGTGACAGACTGCAAGCTTCAAGAGCAGAGCAGCTTATGGAAAAGCAACAATTTAAACACATAAAAGGAGTACAGAATAAGGGGAAATATATATTCGAAACTTTGGCACAGATTCATTATCTATCAAGGATAGGAAAAATAAATTCTTTTCTCCACTCTCCAGTACCTCCTCTGTTTCAAAGAATCAAAACTCTGTTTATTTCTAAATAATATAATTCAGCAGCATAAGAGAGGCATCTTGGCTGAACTGAGACCCAAATCCCCATTTGTTACAAGTTTCTGTGGAAAACTCAATTCCAAATATTGACCTAAAGACAAAGTTTCATAACTCTTTAAGATAAATTTCAGGCCAAATTGATGAGTGTATTTCTACCAAAACTTAAATTTAACTCTAGAAACAGTAAATATTTGGGTAGTTATTATATTTGAACAAATATGTGTATATTATATATACTTCAGAAGAAAATAATTTTTAAAATAGTTAACACTCAATTTTTTAATAATAAAGTTTAGCCTTAAAAAAAGCATAATTTAAAAATGTATCCGAGTATTAGGAGTTCTTTACACATCTTTTTTTACTTTTTACCAAGAATTTCTTTTTAAAAATTGGAATTAATTTGAATTTTTTATCTTCTTCCTGACCCTACCTTTAGAAACAGGTGTTAATGATTTATGAAATGGACATGGGTGGGCAAAAAGAATGAGCTGGAATGAACATATGAGTGTAAAATGGGCATAAAATGGGGAAAAGGGATGATTTCAATGGTTTAACAGCTCCAAATTCCTTACCTGGGGAACTATTTGCTTGATGACATCATCTTTAGAGTGAAGTAGATCAAAACTCAAATTTATTACACTCTCAAAAAATAACATTCAGTCATTGATTAAATAATTTTAAGGTTAATGAAAGGTGAAGCTCTAAATTATATGAAGTAAAACATTTTCCTAACAGTTTCTCTGGGAAATAATTTAGTATAGCAATTTTTGAGTATAACTAGCACTTAAGCAATAAGAGAGTATAACATTCCAACTCAACAATTCACTTGCAAATGCCTAATTTTCGTTAAGTAATGCTTTGCCAATTTAACAGGTTGATTGGTTTGGTGATCATTTTAATTGAACTTTTTTATGATTTAGGAATATAAAACAGTTTAAATAATTCATACCATTTTAAATTTTACTTTGAATATATGTATTTGATAGGATATGTGAAAATATGTTTTTAAAATCTCAAATGCCTGGTGTTGGTTATAAACGCCAATCAAATATTTTTCGTACTTTATGGCAGCAATGTTTGAAAGTGGTTCTAGTTCTCATGTTAAACATAGTTTTGCGAGGAGTCACACAGAGGAAAGGAATTAAAAGTCAAAAGGTATAACCTGAGACTCCAACCTTGAGAAGGTGTTCCTGGCATAGTGCATGATGCTGTCAAAATCATATCGTTCTCCAAGGGAGTTCACTTCTCCAGGTTCCATCTTCAGAAAATTGTACTCTTGACCTAAGCATCAGGCACAGACAACGTTTCAGAAGGCTTTTAACAGATAGAAAAGAGAGCAGAAGAGCCCTTCCTAGGCCTGCATTTGCTTTTAATTGAATGGCTGATCTTCATGCTGGTTGTATTTACGTATTAACACCCAGGTACGCACCAAGGTAACATCCTGTGCCACTGTGTTCACCTTAACATCATGTTGAAAGAGTGATACTGAATTTCATTAATAAGTTAATTTCAGCAAACAGGTAGATTACCAAAAGCATACCCTGGATTTGTTTCCTATATATACTCTTTCATCTTCTCATATTTGATTTCTTTAAAATCTTACTGCTTTTTTCACTACTGTAGGAATGATTATAAAAAGTTACATTTTTATCAAATGAGTTTCCCACCTTTCTCTGATGACTATATTTTCCAAGACCAGCAAAAATTATCTTTCTATTTTCTTTAGATTCCTTCTATGAAACACTAGGAAAAAATATAAAAACAATATTTGTACGTACACATAACCCTGCAGGCATTAGCTATGGGACTTTGTTACTAAAGTTAAAGCAACAGCAGCAAACTTCACTCAAAACTGAGACAAGATTCTGTGGGATGAAAAGGAGCCTCTACCTGGAGGCCGTTTTGATCAGAAGAATATGCTTTAGAACTTAATTTTTTTTTAACTTGTCACAACTGTTACTTTAACTTCCGGACATCTTCATGTTAATAGGTTCCTCAACCGCCTGTTTTGTATCTGTACTGTAATATTATTTCCTGAAATCTGAAAATAACAGAGTTAAATATGCAGATTTACACCAATAGTTCCAGCAGCAGAGAATTTCCTCAGATAGAGTTTATGTTTCAGGAACTCAGTTTTCACAATCTCGGCAGCCAAAGACGGCTGCTTTCATGGCTCATTTACGTAACTTAAAAAGCTCTGAAACATCAGACCATAAAGGTGAGCTACTAGGATTCAAAATTCAAAGTTGGAGTTCAAAATGGAACTATTACAACATTCATCTAACCAGATTTTTATTTCAATTGCCATATTACTACTAAATATAAAAATATCACTTTAATAGAAAGTTTTCCAAAAGGCAATACAGAAATTGAGTGATGCCATGGAGTACATCTCTCTTACATGTAACAAAGAAATCTGGTGGAGCCGGGAGAGTGGTGTAGTGGTTAAGTTCATGTGCTCCACTTCCACAGCCCAGGGTTCATGGGTTCGGATCCCAGGCGCAGATCTGCACGCTGTTCATTAAGCTGTGTTGTGGTGGCATCCCACATACAAAATAGAGGAAGATTGGCACAGATGTTAGCTCATGGCCAATCTTCCTCACCAAGAAAGAAAGAGAGAGAAAGAGAGAGAGAGACAGAGAGAGAGAGAGAGAGAGAGAGAGAGAAAGAAAGAGAAAGAAAAGAGAGAGAGAGAAAGAAAGAAAGAAAGAAAGAAAGAAAGAAAGAAAGAAAAAGAAAGAAAGAAAGAAAGAAAGAAGGAAGGAAGGAAAGGAAGAAGGAAAGAAAGAAAGAAAGAAAGAAAGAAAGAAAGAAAGAAAGAAAGAAAGAAAGAAGAAAGAAAGGAGGGAGGGAGGGAGGGAGGAAAGGAAGGAAGGAAGGAAAGAAAGAAAGAAAGAAAGAAAGAAAGAAAGAAAGAAAGAAGAAAGAAAGGAGGGAGGGAGGAAAGGAAGGAAGGAAGGAAGGAAGGAAGGAAGGAAGGAAGGAAGAAAGAAAGAAAGAAGGAAAGAAAAAGACGGACAGAAAGAAAGAAAGAAATCTGGTATACTTGAGTATTAAGGTTGAGAGAATCAGCTTGAAGTTACAGAACCCAAGTGCCAGAGTAAAGTGTTTTAGTCCATCTTTCAATGAATTCACACAACAAATAGCTTTTAATACGCTGATCAGACCATATAGTGAAATACATGCTCCACAAATCTCTTGTGTGTGTCTGAATTACAACCATTCTCAGGAAATACCCTGTTTTATCTTCAATCTCTGATAGAAGCGACAGTTAAAACTCTCCTTCATAAGGAATTTTAAGTGTATGTTAACGTATCCAATTCTAAGGTGAGATTTTCATAAAGCTGCAGAGCTTACTTTACAGATATTAATCTAGAACCCAGTGGAGGTTTCAACTTCAAGCACAACATGAGAACATATTCTCTAATTAAAGCAAAAAGTTTCATAAAAATTTCTGAAAGTGGAACATTAAGCAACTTCAGTAATACATTTTGATGCATATCACTGAGCATTTAACTGTATATGATACAGTGTTTTTGTGATAGTTAAAAAGAACATGGCCATACATGGTCCAAATAAAGAAAATTAGACCAATTTCATGATAGAAGGGAAGAGGATCAGATACAGAGCACCAGGGGAACCCACCCTAAACGACAAAAAAATGATGAGCCTCTTTCTTGAAGGTATATTCTAAGAAGGATTAAAGTAATCCAACCCTTATACCAATTTGGTTCCTACCACAGTCACTAATTTTGCATATAAATGCAAAGCTACAGTCTGCACTTATTAGACATTGCCCTTGAATAGCACTTGATCTGAAGTTTCTGAACCAGGGCAAGTGATAAAATTTGTTGAAGATTAATCTCCAATATGAGCTCTTGCACACTAGGATTTCCCTGCTATAGAACTGCTGAATACTCAGGAAATCTCATCCAATAAATTACTTTTTTCTATTGGCCTGAATGTTGAGTCTACAAAAGTACAGATAGCCAAAATTTGCGTAGCAATGTGCTAAGTATTATACATTTACATACTACATATCCATTTCTTGCTTGTTTTAGGTGCATATTTATGTTGAATCACAGTCTATTTTTAAGAGTAAGAATCATTCTCGAAAGTTACTTCCTTTACGAGTCATTTTGTCCACATAATAGAGGAAACTTAATAACTGTGGTTAACAGCAAACTTCTCACTTAACTGATAGTTGAAATAATTTTCAGAAATACTATTTCCTCCTTATTCCTCTCCTAATGACATAAACTATAAGATGAACCTTGAGAGCTAGCTCAGGAGTTAGAGTCTTCTATTCTGTGACTATACATTTTCTTTAATTCTCTTCGATATTCAATACTACAGATGAAGGTAGTCCCCCGTTTTCCCTGGGGGATATGGTCCAAGACTCCCAGCAGATGCCTGAAACCATGGATGTTACTGAACCCTACATATAGTATTTTCTCCCCTATATGTACATATCTATGATAAAGTTGAATTTATAAATTAGGCACAGTAAGAGACTAAGAATGACAACTAATAATGAAATACAACAATTATAACAATATATGAATAAGTTAATGTGGCTTTTAGCAACCTCAACATACAATTTTTTTTCTTTCCTTATTAAGTCAAGAACTTTTACCTTTTCACTTGAAGGAAGCACTTTATGGCTTCTCTTTGGCATATCCAAATTGGCAGCATCACTACTCTAGGGGCTTTAAGGGCATCATTAAGTAATAAAAGGGTTATTTGAACACAAGCACTGTGATGCTACAATAATCAGAAGGCTACTGAGTGACTAACGGTGGGTAGTGTACACAGTGTGGATACGCTGGACAAAAGGATGATTTACCTCCCTGGCAAAAGGGAGTGGGACAGTGTGAGACATCATCATGCTACTCAAAAGGGCACACAGTTTAAAATTTACGGATTATTTCTGGAATTTTCCATTCAATAGTTTTGGAACATGGTTGACCGAGGGTAGCTGAAACCACGGAAAGATAAACCCGGGATAAGGAAGGACTACTTACTTCATCATTCTAGCAAAGGTCTCTTCCCTGGGACATCCCATTCAGTGATTTTTAACCTACTTCCTAGACCAAACTTTCTTAGTCTTTTGGGGGATTTGCTGCAAAATGTTGCATAAATATTGGTGTTCCTGACTTTCTATCTTCAATCTTACTTTCTTCTCCCTCCAGCATTTCCCTAGACAGTCAAATCCACTATCAAATTTTTGTTTCCAGACATATTCTAAAGTCTAGACTCACCTTTCCTTTCTCTACTAAACATCTCCACTCGGATCATCCAAAGGATTCTCAAACTCAAGGATATGCTAAATGAAATTGTTATTTGTCTTTCTCCCTCTCAAAAATATATTGCTTTATCCATATTTCTTATTTCCATGGATGGTGCCACCATTCATCCTGCTGCCTAAAAATAAAACGTTGAAGATTTTCCCTCACATAATCATGTTCCTCTTAAAATATTTTTGAAAGATTATTCCCTCTTTTTCCTCTTGATCTGCACCACCCTGAAGACTTAGTCATCTCATAAACTACTTATTTCAGCTTCTAATATGTTTTCCTGACTTCAGGTCCATCCTCCCAACCCCCACCTCCCCATTTCCAGTTAATGATCCCTACAGCTGAACAAATTCTTCTCTTTTTAAAATCTGAACTTGCTCTGCTTTCAATCCTTCAATTATTCCCCAGTAGTTAGAAGATAAAATCTAAATTTCCTAGCTTCATATAGAAGATCTCTATGATCTAACCTCCCGAGGTAAGTGCCAACTAATCTCACTTGTAATTTACAAGGTAGCCATAATGGGCAAATAAAAAAGGTTCAATTTTCCATAATTGTAGCTTTGATCATGATGTTTTTTCAGCTTAGAAATTCCATCACTCTTCTGTGCTCTTAGAACGCTTCTACTTTACTTCTAAATTTCAGTTCCTTTGTAACATCTCCCTCAACTCACCAAGGCGCATTTTGTCACATCTTGCTTGGACTAATGGTATTCTCAAGAAATGACTACTGTTGCTTTTCTCACTCATGTGCAATCATCTGCATATACGGACATACTGTACATTAAGCTTTGCAATTTTCATGACAGTATCTCCAATGTCTAATAGCGCCTCAATAAATAATTGGTAACAAATATAGGATGAGCAAATAAATATATCAACGCCATTAATTACAGGAAATTCTAAGGAATTCAATGTTTGTAACTTAAAACTGGTCATGAATAAAGAAATAAGGACACACTTTCCTTTGTATATTCTTGAAATATACACTACATTGTACGACAATTCCAACCAACGAGATTTTTCTTTTGGAAATTGAAATGTACTGATCTCTGTGAATTTATGAAAGTTAAAATAAAAAGCTATAAAGTGAGGCTATTATCGCACATCAACTGTCAAGGGAAATTAAATTTTAATTGTATATTATATTTCAACCACTGAAAAAATTCTTAAGAATTTGTCTTTAGGGTAGTCAGGTTTAATAGTCAAAGAAACTATGTAGACTATCCTGAAAATGACACTTCTCTGGAATTTTCTCCAGAAATTGTCCCTGGTATAACATAGATTCCTACAGTAGCAGCATGTTTCATGGCAAATGCTGAACCCTTTCTAAATCCCTACAACATAAATTATAGAACTAGGTATAGAAAATGCTCTTAAAAAAGAAATATTTAATAATATTAATCTATGATTCAATAGCCTACACCCATTCTTAGAAAGCGCAGAAGTTTTTATACAAAAACAGCTAAATCTTAAGGAAAAAAAGCAAGCCTAAAAAATATTAAGATCATTCACTATGTAGGAAAAATGAAAAATATAATATCATCATGGGTATTTTTTAATCAAGCAAACTGTTGATCTATAATATCAAAAAAATCAGTTCACTTTTTGTAAGTTAAATGCTAAATAGCATAATTATAATTAAAAGATATTCAGTCAACCTTAAATCCAACACATCCTGAAGCCTCTCACCTGGTTGGATGTTTTCTCTTATGATGGTTACATGGTTATCTCGATCTGGTCGTGTGTGTTCATGCCAAAAGCCTATCACATGGCCCAATTCATGAACAACAATTCCAAATTTATCACAGTTCTTGCCAATAGAGATCGCCTGAGGTCCATTTCCCCGCCGACCTACATAGGAGCAGCATCTGGAATAAAGTAGAAAGTGGAGATGGTGATGAACAGGGTGATGCTGGATGAATTACAATATGGTGAAACTTTTGTAAAGAACCGTGATGAACTATAAAGTCCAACACATTCAGAAGCAGAGCAGCCTTTCATTAACAAATACGGCTAATTTCTAGTGTCCTGGTAAATTTATGTACAATAAAAGTCTTCAAATAATCAGTTAAAGTGCTTTTGTACTAATTCATATATTAGAAGATATGCCTTAAATCATTTTTAGAAGTATGCAGAAGATAAATCAGAAAATGAAATACTTATGATGAATAATGTGCTATAATACATACAGTTAAACTCAAGACATCAACTCACATTTTTTTAATTGAAGCAACATTGGTTTATAACATTATACAGATTTCAAGTGTACATCATTATATTTCGATTTCTGTGTAGAGTATATCATGTTCACCACTCAAAGACTAATTACCCTCCATCACCATACACATGTGCCCCGTCACCCATTTTGCCCTCCTCCCTCTCTGCCTCCCCTCTGGTAACCACCAACCTAATCTCTGTATCTACGTGTTTGTTTGTTGCTGCTGCTGTTATTTTTATCTTCTACTTATGAGTGAAATCATACAGTATTTGACTTTCTCTGTCTGTCTGACATTTCATTTAGCATAATACCCTCAAGGCCCATCAATGTCGCAAATGGCAAGATTTCATCATCTTTATAGCTAACTAGTATTCCATTGTGTATATATACCACATAACTCACATTTATTTCTAATATAATTTTTTATCCTCACAGTCCATGTAAATTATTTAGGTAACTACTTTATCAATATGGTTATCTGGCAATAATCCACGATTTCAGTATTCAATATAAAAACAAAGTTTATTTTTCCTCTTTGAGAAAAACAGAATTAAATTTATTTAAGAAAGATATTGGTTAATCAAAAAAGAAATTACTTTTCCTGCTCATGGGAATTTTTTTTTTAAGAAGAAAACTTCTAAAAGAAGAAGTCAATTCAGGAAAATTTGTTTCAAAAGGTGAATTGTCTAGCGTTAATGGTTAACTAGTGAAGAAAAATTGACAACTGGTAGAATTATGAGATTTATAGGATTGCATTGAATGGTTGGGCTAATATTTAAGTGTGATATTCTATTTCACCTTCTGAAAGAATCTCTTGGACCAACAGAATATGAAATATGCAGAGTATCTTTCTGCAGATTTTCCTCAATTTACTGATATTTATAGATATTAATTGATGTTTTCTACCCACAATATAGAAGTTCCATGTATTCATTTTGTGTGTGTGCATAGATGGATGTGTGTGAGCATGCATAAGAAAGTGCACACACACGTGCAAGGGTGGGCACATGGGGATATTCACTTAAAATACCTTTTAAATGGTATAATAATATAGTAACCACAATTACAATTATAAATAAAATTATATCTACAACTTCAGTAATTAAGTTTTACAGTAAAATAGCTTATCTATAGGACCATCCCCAATAGATGGCAACAAAGGGCAGTAAATAATGGGTCTCAAATAGTTGGGAATCACAGTGCACCAGACACCAACACCTTTTCTAATTTACTAAATTAAAAGAGAAAATTGCCAAAAATTAATTTCCCAAATGACTAAAAGCAATTTTAATTTTCAAAGTACATTTGATTGTCCTTTTGATTGTCAACAAATAAAAATATTGTCATTCTAAGTATTTTTGTAGGCTTTAAATGCCTAAGCATTTTAACCTATACCACGCCAGTTAGACGAAGTATTCAGTTTATTACTTATGAATCTATTATAACAGTTAATTAAGCTTAATAAATCAATAATAGAAAAGAAGAGAGAGGTAACTGGTAGGGAAGAAATCAGGGAATTGTGCTTTTGCCTCCAGGTAGATTTTTTTTTTAAATAGTATCTTTTAACCCATACATAGATAGTTAATCCATACAAAGTCAACTATTTACTAGATATGCAAATAGTAAAGTATTAGATGTGGAAAAACACAAAATTTGCAAATTCCAGAAATTTAAACTGAATCGTTTGCTACCACGAAGCAATAGTAATGAAACTGAACTATCTGATGATTATACAGCAACTGAATTACCCAAACTGAGTCATTCTTGCTGGTTATATTCAGAGAAGAAAGTCTTTGCAAATCAAACTCTGGGAGACAATCAAGGAATATGGTCAATTTATTTAATCTGAAACACCTTTTTAAGCATAATTTCACTCATAGAAACTTCCAATAACTAAAATGGGGTTTCATAATTCAAAAATATTTTTGTATAAAGCAAAAGTACATTTCACATTGACTTTTACAATGGCCTTGTGAAAGAAGAAAAATGTGGTGGTTTGATCTCTGACATACTACAGGTCTAAAGACAGAAGAATTCTAGATGCTCAGATGAATAAATAACTAAATATATGCAATCAGAAGTGGAATGACAGGGGCAATATGCACAGAGTACAAAACGTCATTTAAACATGTCTACGTATTATCTTAGTTTCCAATATCCTCCAAGTTTGGCAGAATAAAACTAGCAAAATGGAAAACTTTAACAAGAGCCAAATTAATAAAAGAAAATGAGTATAAATATGAATTTGCTACAAACAGAAATTGAGCAATAACATAACAAGTGATCAGTACTTTGGACCTATTTGTTTTTACAAAATTGAAGGGTGGGAAAGAGGAAAGAAGTATTGATTTGAATACATTATGTATTTAGAAATATGTAAGCTGAGCTATATCCACTCCTTGTAGACAACTAGAAGGAAGGAAGGACAGTTTAGATTCAGACCTTTTACATATTAAACAGATATAAAGAACCAGGAGGCATTTCAAATGTAACCAAAACTTATCAACTTTAAATTAAAGTGATTTAGAAGGAAATATTACTTGAGTAAGTCATAACTAAAAAATTCAAGCACTATCCAAAAACTATAGAAAGGTAATAATGTATAATTTTTCCTAATGTCACTCAGATAGGGCCCAAATTAGAAACCATTACTTTTTAAATTACTTTTTATTGAAATAAAATTAACATATAACATTACATTAGTTTTAGGTGTACAAAATAATGATTTGCTATTTGTGTATATTGCAAAATGATCACCACAATGAGTCTAGCTAACATCCATCACCACACAGTTACAAAATTTTTTTTCTTATGATGAGAAATTTTAAAATCTATTCTCTTAGCAACTTTCAAATACACAATACAGTATCATTAACTACAGTCACCATGCCGTACATTACATCTTCATGACTTATTTTATAACTAGAAGTTTGTACCTTTTGACCACCTTCACACATTTCCTCCACCGACCACCCCTGCCTCTGGCAGCCACCAAGCTGTTCTCTGTATCTATGAGTTTGGTTTTTATAAGATTCCACATTTAAGTGAGATCATACGGTATTTGTCTTTCTCTGTCAGACTTATTTCAGTTAGCATAACACCCTCAAGTAAGGTGCATCCATGTTGTCGCAAATGGCAAGATTTCCTTCTTTGTTATGGCTGAATAATATTTCATTGTATGAATATTCAATAATATTTCCTTTCACTTCATTCAATATTTCATTTCATTTATAGTACATTTCTTTATCCCTTCATTCATCAATGGACAATTAGGTTGCTCTCACGTCTTGCCTATTGTAAATAATGCTGCATTGAACATGAGGGTGAATATATCTTTTCAAGTTAGTGTTTTCATTTCCTTCAGATAAATACCCTATAGTGGAATTGCTAGAAAATATAGCAGTTCTATTTTAATCTTTTCAGGAACGCCCATACTGTTTCCATAGTGGCTGCACCAATTTACATTCCCTCCAACAGTGTACAAAAGCTCCCTTTTCTCCACATCCTCAACAACACTTGTTATTTCTTGACTTTTTGATAAAACCCATTACTTTTTAAATTAAGTGTTCTAGGAAAATATGGTAGAACAAAGCCAGATGACTTAATCCCTCCCTCCAATACCTATTGAAATATATAAATTTTCCCCAAAAAAATACATGTCATTAGGGCAAGAACAATTTCCTCCAAAGGAATTAAGCATTTATTTTTACTCCCCTTTATGAACTATACTACAGGGTATTCAAATAGCTATAGCTGATGAGAGAAAATGCTTCTTTATAGAAGAATTTTACCTAATAAATGTAGGAGAAATACAAGAACGGCACTGGAAACTCACTATTTTGCAACTATGGGACTATTACAATGGATAGACATGGCTACCACCACCTGAATGCACTGATCATTCGTAGCATCACTAAAGTGGTGGGTCCAGACACACGTACTTCCTGATGTGATGCAAGGTAAAGCAGACAGCACACCTTTTAAGTATTCTTAGCAAAGAAACAAAAGTTCAAGCTGAATTTAATAACGTATTTAAATATAAGTTCCAATTAACTAGAGAGACAGGGAAGAGACGTTTGAAAACTTTCACAGTAAAAAGTCTCTTATGGTCTCCAGCATTGCTTGGTGGACTGCTATTACTGTAACTTGGCTAGATTATGGGATTTGCGGAGAGATTTGGTGGCAGAAGAAACTACGGATGGAAGTTGTGGTAAGTTCATGGCATTCCTTAAATGTTATATGAAAGAATTTGGATTTGATACTCAGGCTAGCATTGCCCAAAATGTGTTCCGGGATACTGATGTAAATTCTTCACTTTTAAAAGGGCAAGATGGATATCCACTTTTTAAATAAGTTTAGAAGACACTGTACTCTATATTCCTTTCAATTGGTTCAATATTAATCATGTTCATCAGCAGATTGCTGTAGAAATACCTACTGAAATTTAACAGCAATTTCACAACTTACGTAAAGGTTGTTTTAGAAAGAATATTTTTTATCATCCTGTAAGAAGCAAATCTAGAAAACACCACTATAGGAGGAAACACTGAAAAACCTCAAAAAGTGTGGTAACTTGCTCTGACCAGTAGTTTTTGAAGAGAATTCTAACAGCAGTGAATTGGTGAGGAAAGACAGGAGAGCAATTGGAATAGACCAAGTGTGAGATGACAAAGACATGAATGGACCAAGGCAATGACATAGGATAGAGATGGAAGCCAAAAGACAAAGTGAATATCAATAGAAACTTACTGCATAGATTTCAGAGGCAACACAACAGGATTTCTAGACAGTGATACTGAAGTTTCTAACCCAGGTGAGTGGGATGTTGGCAATGCCACTGTTATACTTAGAATACAAGGAAAAGTAGCTGAGGTCGTGGAGGAATACACTTGGGGTAAATGCACAAAAGTCTGTGATCAAAGACTATATTTAGTGAAAATATAATATTTTCTTATGTAAAATTCACATCTTCTCATGGGCAAAATACTAAGCAATAAATGAATCTTACTTACGGATTTTTTTACTCTTCCAAACTTAAGTCATTCCCTGGTTCTACTTACCCACAAGGCCTATACGTGAATACAATGTAACTCTCTTCATCACTTCTTTCAATGAAAGTCACACATGTGTGCTTTTCCCAGTGCCTCATGGCCTGCTTGAACATGGCTCGCTGGCTGCCTGGAAAAATGGCATGACGTTAATAACAGTCTGCCCTGGGGAGGAGTGCTGAAGGCTGGCTCCTCCATCCCGAGTCCAGCGGGGCAGTTCAGATGCCATCACTATCATCAACCAAAGAATACTAGCCGAGAGCACCACAAATGTGTCATTGTTAAGAATGGACACTCAGCTTATAATCACAAGGTTCAAGCTCACTATCTCTACAAATATGTGGGTACAAGGCTCTATAAACGGGACTTACATTCTTCCCGTCAGCTGAACAGAAATCAGCTTCCAGATTTAATGGGCACATTTGAAATTCAGTCTAAACACCAGAATAGTATTGTAGACTCTTAGAACTGAAGATTAAAAATATTTTTCAATTGCAAAGACATTCTAAAGTAACAACGGAGGTGAGTGGAGTATTTCTCAAGTTTGATAGAATGCTGTTCTATATATTAATATTCTATAAAAATATACACTGTATGATATGATGTATCATGTAAGATAATTCTATGGCAATTATTACGTATCAGAATAGATATTCTGGGAATATCTTACCAGTGAAGTTGCCTCCTATAACATAAGGAATAACGCCTCCAGGCCATATTCTTTCAGTTCTTGATGTAGCAGCTCTGGGAACTCGATTTTTCTCATTTTGCCCTGAGAATTTTAGAGGTACTTTTCCCTTAACTGTGTTGTTTTGCTCCAAGCCTGCAGTGACATTTAAAACATTCTGTGAAACAGAAGAATCATTTACCTCTTAAAGGACAAAAGTTAAAATGTCTTATTTACATATTTGTATAAATATGCCTGAAGTCAAAATGCACTAAAGAACAACTTCACTTATGTTACATACTTGAAAAAACATTAAAATATTCAAGTATTTCACATCAAAATATTATTTCTTAACACTCTATGAGCAAATTTTGATCAATTTCCATACAAGAGCTTACAGCGAATATTAAGTCAGGCAGACGTGTAGGCCACAGAAAAATTATTTTATGTATTCTAATCTACTAGATCACTACCAATCCACACCAGATGATAAAATAGAAGTTGTTTACAAAGTCTCATGATATTCAAAACTCTTCTCACTCCTGCTAAATTCCTAATCCTTTAAATCAGGATTGATATTCTATAGTATGGCCTAAAGTTATAACTATTACATTGTAGAGAGAGCAAAACAAAATAAGGTTAAAACAGATACGGTCTCAGCCTTCTGGGACAATGGGCTATCTCCATTCCAGTTCTGGATTCACACCCAGGCAGACAGCATGATTTAGAGATCAGTAAACAAAGTGAGCAAGCCAACATAAAATGCAGTCTATTCTGGGGCGACTTTTGAGTCTGTAGTCATTAATTTTCTTAGTGGTCTTTCATAATATTTTTGTTACTAATTTTGATTTTCCTAAACTTGCATGACTATTCTTTCTTATTCACCTATCACTGTTGATACAAATATCCAACCACTAGAATATACTTCAGACACAACAAATATTGAATGTATGCCCCTAGTCTCATGTCCCTAGCATGTCTATCTTTTTAATGTCCTAGAACAAAGCACCTTTGCTGGGGAAATTATTCCTTGAAAGTATATGCTTTCAAATATTTAATTAATAATCTATTAATTTAAGAAATGTTAGGATATAAACTTGGAAGAGAAGAATTAACAAAAAAACTCTAAAGTCTACAAATAGTGGTGAATAAATTCAATACTATAAATATTAACTAATTATGAAACCAGAGGCGGTTTTTCTGAATGCTTTTCTCTACATATTTTTGGAAGAGTCAAAAACATTTTAAACTATTTTTTAATCCAACGTATCAGTTTGTTAGCTTGCTTTAAGTGGATCTTATTTCAAAACAAATAGCCATGATATTTTTTGATTTGACTAAAATTGATGTAGTTCCATGCTTGATAAAAGCACCTGAGAGTAACACCAAATTTACTGGAAATAAATATCAACAATAAAATAAACAAATGATACATTTTTATAAGGAGAAGTTGAAAATAAGTTAAAGAAACATTTCAATTGTCCCAAATTAAGTTCTAAAAAACTTAATACAATACCAGCTAACAAAATGAAAATGAATAAAAGATTCTTTCTCAGTGTACATCCTTTACATACTTTGCATCATAATGGCAAACTGAACTGCTATGAGTATAATATTTACTGTACATCAAGTCAAGCGTCTGCAACTTTAAACATTGATATACCAGAGCCAATTCTTCTTATCCTGTCTATAAGTTGGTAGAGGGCCCCTCGTTTCTTTGACATACCATGGTCTCCAAGTCCACCTTAAAGAATAAAAGAAAATAGTTAAGTTAAACTCACTGTATTGTAAAGTTCTTGTAAATAAACAATAATAATAGGCTAAATTCATTTCTCTTTGGACATCTCCTTTTATATGGTCTTAGTGTGTTAGAATCACGAATATCCATGAATTTTTTGAAGAGGATAAAAATTCTACAACAGGGGCCGGCCCCGTGGCCTACTGGTTAAGTTCGCACACTCTGCTGCAGGCGGCCCAGTGTTTCATCGGTTCGAATCCTGGGGGCTGACATGGCACTGCTCATCGAGCCACGCTGAGGCAGTGTCCCACATGCCACAACTAAGAATATACAACTATGTACCAGGGGGCTTTAGGGAGAAAAAGGAAAAAAATAAAATCTTTAAAAAAAAGAAATTCTACAATAAATTTCGTTAACTAAAAATAAGGGGGTGTGGGAGATCCAGAGAGCAATCTAAATGACTTTATTTGGACATTACGGCAATTGAGTCATCCATTGATAATTTGAAACATTTTTCTTCACTGTGACCTTGACACCATATGGTGTTATGTAGGATGACAGCAAGTTGTCCTGCCCTGTTGATTGCATTCCAGCTATTTTCCCAATGCAAACTGAATATTTTCAGACACCAAATCAGCAAATGGTAATAAAAACATTAGAAAAGCAAAAGCATAGTGAGAATTTTGCTCCAAAGCTCTGATCAATTTTGAAATATTTCTAAAAGCATTTCATATTTCATAATATATTCAAATAAATTTTGAAAATTAGTTTCTATAACTTATAAAACCCAATAACACAGAAAAAAGTCACAAGGTAAGAATCCAAAAGAATGTTCAGCTGCAAAACACACTTACACTACATACTTTGCAAAATTTGTAAAAATAGATGAAAAGAATTTTATAGCTCAAAAGGTAGAGGAGAGGGTTGGGATAAGAAAATATGTCTTCTTGCAATTTTATCAACAAAGACTAGAAAAGGTAGATTCCTGCCATAAGTGAGAAAGCAGAGCACTTGACAAAAATTCACGTCCTCTCATTCTCACTTCAGGGCTTTAATAAAATGTTCTCCCTATTTTCCCTTCTCTTGAATGTTTAATAGACAAATAATAAAGAGGTATCTTGAGTAAACAACCTATATAGCCACTAACGACATCTGAACAAGTGCAGATGAGTTTGTACGACTAAGCATGTCTGCAGTTCATAAGTGTCTCTGGGCTAAAACAATGAAAGAGGACTAGAAAGTCATGAACACAACAAACTCTTCTTGAACTTCGTACTATTTCCTTCCAATAACTTTTTTTCCCTTTGAAATTAAAACTGAAACTTAATTATCTAGATTGAAGCTAATAAAAAACAAAAACAATAATAAACATTATTACCATAAAAGCCTCTTATAGGAAAAATCAATTAAGTCCTTATAAGGCAAATAAGTTAGAGTGCTTGTTCACTGACTAATAATCTGCTTAATTATTTGCATTACATGGTCACATTTTTGCTGTGCCCCTTGAGAAAAATTTTTGAAATTTTTTTCATTGAACATTTTAGAAAGATGAGGTAACACTTAAACGTATTCATTCCTAAGCAGTTACAAGACACGTTTTTAAAGAATGGGTTTTATGTGTTTGAAATAACCATTATGTAACAATTATATTTCATTTTAGGTAGGGCTGAAATACATATAAATAATTTACAAGGAGGCTAATTATGAGAAAAAAGAAACGTTTTAGTTAATATGAAGGTAATGATAGGGATAGGAGTAATTATAGAATTGAAACAAACGATGTTTCAAGACTATCAAAGACTAATGTTTTCAATAATGTGATATTTAGGAATTTTGAATAATTTTTATAGTAACTGAAACAAAATTCTGTGTAGGAAGTCCATTCAAATAGAAAAAAATTCTTAAGGTAACTAGTTATTTCACACATTCTAAAAACAAAATGAAAATATGAAAACTACAGAAATATTTCTGGGAAAGAATATATATTTTAAAATAAGGAAATGAGAAGCGTAGTCAATCTGGCACAAGCTAACATGAAAAGGAAAAGATAGAGTAAGAAAACAATAAAATAAAGGATACTTTTACATTGTCTGAAATTAACTAAACAGTACAAATTACTTTGGAACATGTGTACTTTTCATATATATATTTAGAATGTTTTTTACGATTGACAGTATAATCTGTTTTATGCTATTTATCTAAAATAATGGCATTTTTTCTTCCAACTATTACTATTTCAGAGCTTAACCATAAATGAAACGCTAAAATTTACTACTACTAAAAAATTTTAGATTACAGAAAATGAGTGTCCTCAAAACAATGGGGGGGGGATGATGGATTAAACAAATGATGTGAATAAAGCTTGAAGCTAAGGAAAATTTTAATAAAACTGAAAAGGTCACATGATAAATCCAGGATTTTGCCAAGCTCTATCATTGCTTGCTTGTCCAAAATACATTGTCTCCGTATCAGCGTTAAGTGTGAGGGAGTAAATGGAGAGTCTGTCAACTAATGTCTCCTACAGGAATGTACTAGCTCTGATTATATTGCAAAGCAAACTTTTCTTCCCATATTTGGTGTCTGTTTCAGAAAACACTGTCACTACATATAACAAAGGCCAAAGCATACTATTTTTTAAGTAATGTGTGTTATTATTGTAGGCAAATTCCTTACATTTTATTATCTTATATAAATTTCTTAGACGTGATAATGGTATTTTGATTATATAGAAAAATGTCCTTATTCTTACAAAGTGCATACTAACCTACCTAACATAAAGTGCCATGTTGTCAGCAATTAATTTCAAAATGTTGTTTTATACACATTTATGGATGTATGTGTACACGCACACACACAGAGGCCTGGTACATGGTAAACACTCCAACATGTTTGTTAAATAAATTAATTAATAAAATGAAAACTGTGAACAAATTCTAAATTTCAAAATAGGCTTATTTGTGTCCAGGAAATCAAAGTTGATCAGCGGGACACTAAAAATGATCCAAAGAATACTTCCAGCATTTCAAGAGTATGTTTTCTCCAAAATGAACACAAATTGAATCAAATAACCAACTGTACCTGTGGTATGTCCAAGTTTTCCAAAGGGGTTCTGTGTAAGGTCAATTGTCCTATCAATTTGAAAGATATTTAAGTCTTCTTCATCTAAGGCAATATCACCCCAAAACACAGCTAAAAGAGAAAGGTTCAATTAAAATGCAAAATATTTAAGAGCAAAATCAATGCAAACAAAGCTAATTAGAAAAATATTGTTAAAAATATGGAAATGTGGTCCATATAGATACAGACAGATATTTCAGAAAGTAATTGTAACTGAGTATGTGGGGCATGTTACAGTATCATATGAGCCACCTGGAAAGGGTATGACCCACATTTCTTTACTTTGATGTCTGAGGCAAGGGGGGCAGTCGTTTCTTTGAATGAAATGGTCACTGATTTATGGGGGGTTCTAAGGAAGGAGGATACAGCAATCATGGCTATTTGTAAATAAGTGAAAATCTGCCAAGAACTTCCGCATGTATGGTGGATGCTTGTGACCAGTAGCAGGTCTCCACTGACAGTAGGAGAGGAAGTAGCAACTAAGCCACGTGCTATAATAACTTTGTAAAAGAAGATGCAATTCGGACAAAAGAATATTGTGCTGTTACAGGCACTTCTTCAACACATTTTTATACAATTATAATGCACTTTCTCTGAAGATGATATTGCCTCTGAGTCTCTATAAAATGTATACATAACCACCAAAAGTAATACTTAAGTCAATCTTTATTTAGGCAATGACTAGGTGCTAGGTCTTTGATCTCTAATGACAAATAAGGCATTGTCCATATTTTCAGGGGCTTCAAAATCATTACCCTAAATCCTGGAAACACTCTGACTCTACCTTTTATACCCAGCCTTTTATGCTACTTAATAAGTCAAAGCTCTATAAACCACTGTGAAAAACTGGGAGAATTTATTCATAACCAGTATGTGAATTTCTCTTTTAAGGTTGGAAATATACATTAGCATAACCAAAAGATGGCCTCATTGTTTATTTGAGTCCAAAACTAGTCTAAATCAATCCCTTAGTACTGTCAGATGTCAAAATATGAAAAGTTTAGGAAACACAGCACACTTAAGAGAGAGAATAAATAATCATGAGACAGTAAAACATTGAGAAATCCCTTGAAAATTCTGGGATATTTGTGTCTTGATACAGGTTTACAAACTTTCTTTTTTAAAATTGCCTTCAGATATTTCTTCTGCAAAACCAAAAAAGAGAGGAGGAAAATACGTTAAAAATGTAGGAAGTGACAAAATTCATGCTTTTCAAATCACTTTTACTGGATTCAAATCTTAAGAATTTAACCTCTAAAGAACAAGTTAATAAAATTAGTTAATTTATGAAATTTAAACTTCCATCCTGAAAGGTATACAAGGCTTTAGGCTTTGAGCAAAGGTTGATCATATAAAATATTCGCCCAGTTTAGTGCCCTCATACAAAACTGACATAAGATAAGCAGTTAGGTTTACGTGTAAATCCAGAAAGTTAGACAATAGAAATTAGTCCAAGGTAGGTTATCAGTTCAATATAAGAAAAAATCTTCATTAGAATTAGAATTCTCTCATTCGCCCCTCTCTTCTGCCCTCCTGTCATGGAATGGCAGTCTGTAAAAGCAAAGAGATGCCTACTATCTTTTATTATCACAGGGACAAAGTAATGAAAAGCCTGTAGAAGAGTTTACTGGCTAGGATGCTGGTCTCGAAGCCTGAAATTGAATCCAGACTCTAATCAACTTCATACTCATGCAGCAGAAACCACTGATGCCCGCTTCCCTGAAAGCCAGACATCCCGAGAACTAGATGGCCTGCTTAAATAAAATATTTGTCAATTATATAAAAGGCTTGTTAGTTTTCAGAAATATAAATTTTGGACTGTTTCTTTTTTTTTCCAAGATTTTACGCTACTCTAAGGTATTTACCAAGTTTGCTAGTTATTTAAAATTTCCAGTATGTGTATTTACTATGCAAATAGTTGTGGGCACTGACTGGCAGTGACTCCCAGCTTGGCCCTTCCTTTCTGGCTCTGTGCTGGGGGCAATAAGAGACACTAAAACAGTGATTCTCTAACATTCATCATAGGAATCACAGCGGATCTGGTTAAAATGGAGGCTCTGATTTAGCAGGTTTGAAGGGAGGCCTCAGAGCCTACACTTTAACAAGCTTTATTATTACAAGTAATTATCATTGTCATCATCTTTATTAGCACTTTTTTTCTGCTAAAATAAACTTTTACTCCTCTGTGAATGATCTGGTTGACTTGAAAACTGAGGCATTTCACCAAACAAAATGTAGTTTGTCGGTACTGTGCTTATATAATAAAAGTAGTATGAATAAAATAAAATTCAGATGTTTGTTATATTTTTAATTTCCTTAATGACTTTTCACATGCAATAGGATTCACGTCTTGATGGATTATCAAACACAGATCAGCAGTCCAAGGATATAACACTTCACAGAAGCAAAAACATTACTTCTTGGGAGAAGAAAACTCCAGATAACTCGAAAACTGTTCTCAAGTACATAGTCCCATTTTTTTTTCATTTATTGTTATGTTTTTCTGAACTAATAGCTTCAGATAGATTGGTGGTTCTGAATATGATTGCTTCAGGAGAAAACCAAATGTCTCTTTTTGTTTTACTATTTTTTGAGGAAGATTAGCCCTGAGCTAACTACTGCCAATCCTCCTCTTTTTGCTGAGGAAGACTGGCCCTGAGCTAACATCTGTGCCCATCTTCCTCTACTTTTTTTATATGTGGGACGCCTACCACAGCATGGCTTGCCAAGCAGTGCCATGTCCGCACCCAGGATCCGAACCCGCGAACCAGGGGCCGCCAAGAAGCTGAATGTGTGAACATAACCATTGCGCCATCGGGCTGGCCCCCCAAATATTTCTTTGAGAGCAAACTCAAAACTAATGTGAGTCACTAAGCCAATTCACTTATGTGCAGACTTTGATACACTGTAGGTCATGTACGTCTTTAAATCTTGATATTATCAACAGAAAAAAAAATAGACATCTTAGAATTTTCAACCTATCATATAGTTTAAATGCACAATTTTTTCTTTATATTTTACACATTTAAAGGTTTCTTTAATTCATCTTCTACTTAAATCTAAGTGTCCTATTTCTGCATGCTAAAATATTTTACTTCTGCATTGGACCATGTAAGCTGGACCATGATAATTTATATTAACGTGGACTTAGAATTTGCATTATAATTTAATATATATTTGTCATTTAGGCTCTGATTTATTTGTAATTCTCAAGTCCACTTTACAGTTTTTTGCTTTTCTTTCTATACATTATTTTCTATTTATTTTGCATCAAAAAACAAAAATTAGAGAGAAACAGTTTTAAAGTATGAATTATCACTCATTAGCCCCATTTAATACAGTGATTTGAAGTTAATGATGTCAGAACTAAAAGCAATATGGGATACCGGTTACAGATGACAATACTAGAGAAAAGCACAAGTGCAATTAAAATATTTACTACTGTTTGAAATTCTGCTTGAATTCCTCTGGTCAAAAATGGAGGTGGAGCTAACCAATTGGCCAAAATAAAATGTCAAGAACAACAATTATGAAACTACGTGGAAAACCACGGGTTTTGTTTTTCTTGTGAAGGCTATTTGCATTCATCATACTACAAAAACAATTTTTTTAATCAGAGACCAAGACAGAGTGCTTTTATTGTAGTAGGCAGAGGAAATATATTTTATAAAAGAGCATATGAGGAGAAGAAGCAATCCAAGATTGTGATTCCCTACACTCGAATTTTAAGTGATGTCTCTTCCACCCACTTCCCGATTCCCGAATGATCTTTAGCCCTTCGGTTCTGAAGCTGGGGTCCAGGGACCAGCTTTAAGGAGGCTTCAAGTCCGTGATTTCCTAAAAGCTGTAAGCAAAAAATACATATGAGTTTATAAACACAGTCACCACACGTTCTGCAGGGGCGACATCCACAGTAGATTGTCAAAAGGGATCACATAAAGTAAAGAACCACTACTTTTGCCAAAAGCAAAGACTTTCAGTCCACTTGGGAGAAAATGCTTGGCAGACAAACTACCCTCAAGAAAATAAATATATTTACTCGAATTAATGTTAAGTCATCTGACAGCTGGCTACTAATTGACAGCACACTGGAATAGATAAAATGACAGAGTCTCCTCAGGCATTACCCACAGAAAATCCTCTCAGAAACCCCCTCTCTCCAGCTAACCCAGTTAGGTGTCTCCTCTGTTTCCATGTCCCGCCTGTGGGTCTCTCAGTAATAGGTCAACACATAAGATCTCATAATATCTTTCTAATCATCTGATTCCTCAACCTAGTTTTGCAAACACTAACCACAGAAAGCACGTGTTGCTCATCTTTAAACCCTCACTGCCAGAGTGCCTGACATAAACTAGGTCCTCAATATATGCTTTGAGGCACAAAAAAAAGGTGAATGAGAAAACATCATGGATTGGGGTACAAATTGTGTATAACAAAAATGAGGCTAGGCATACTACATACTTCACAAATTTGCCTTAAGAAACAAAATACTAGATATTTGACCATTCCAAGGAATGAATATTTGGAATCCTTTCTGTCTAGAGTGGATTACTGCTATCTACTTCAAAAAAAAAACAAGTAAAAGGCAGCTGCCTTTTTTTATTCCAGTCATATATATTATTAAGTGTAGTTATGGGAAATGAGTCCTTTTTCTCTGAACACCACACTGATATGCTCAGGAAATACATGACTGAACTAACAGATCAGTTATCTTGAGATTTATGGGATTTGGAGAGATAGCTCAAAGATTCAACAATAGCCAAGAGCACTTGCTTATTACACTTTTTCCATATACAGTTTAAACTTTCTGCTTTTATTGATATTGGATTTAGGGAGGAAGCATGATGTCATATGAAGGCCTGACAAGGCTGCTTTGGCTGCTCTCGCCCACAATAAAGGCCTAGTGAAACTTTCCTCAGACAAGGGCAACAGTGAAGACTCAAAAGTCAACTATTTTCACATGACTGACAACCACCATGCAAATTCCCAAGGAAAAGTAACATTTGGCAAAAGTTCTAATACATACATTTTGGAGACAATGTTACACTACTTAAAAGAGAAAATAATTTTCC